GTCATCACTGTCATTGATGGCATGTGAGAATTACACTTGAACTTGACAAATGCCAACATCATAGTGGAGGTGGCATAGTTGTCCTTCAGTTTCTTCCACAGCATGGCAGCTGTAATGTCCACTGGATTTGCGAGGTGCAAGAGCTTGTCGCCAAGTGTGCTGAGGATGTAGAACCTCGTGTATGTGTTGGTGGTCTCCCACGTGTCAATGTTTGCAGTGGAAGTAGTTGCTGTGGGCTGTGTCTTGGTGCCATTGACAACCTTCCATGCATGTGCAGCAATGAAGTACTGCTGCATCATGAGGGACCAGTGGGGGTAGTTGCTGAAACCTTTGAGCTTGCCGATTGCGTTGAGTTTCATTGATAGTGAACCGGTAGCGGATGCGCACGTGGAGGCAGAGGACATTGCTGTACGGCGAGGCATGGTGGAGGTGGATTGAGATGTAGATGGAGTAGCAGAAGTGGCAAGAATTGTATGCAGAGGACAAACAGCTAGTGTAGAGCACGGCAAACAAGTGGCAGGTGTAGGTGAAGGTAGGCATGAGGCAGAGGAATCAGACATGCACTAGAGGGTGACTCTAGCGTGTGGTGTTGTGTGCAATGTGGGGAGTATTGTGTGTGCAGTGTGAGATCACTCTATGGGTACAACCCATAGCGCGAGGGATGAAACTCAAAGAGTAAGGCTCTTTGCACTTTGGAGTGATGTGGGGGCCAGTTACAACCCAGAGCTCATAACCTATTGTCATGTAACAACTACTGCGGCTGCATGAGTGCGAACTGGTGATGGGCATGCAGGCACAATCTAATACACACCGGAGTTAGTCTGAGTGCAAAGAGAAAAGAGCATGCTGTTATAGTCTAACCTAATACACACAGGAGTTAGCTATACAGCAGATGGTAAGCATACTATATAATGCAAGGGCAATGAAGGAGGCTTACTCTAAGTGCAAAGGAAAAAGAGCACGCAGAGTGGAGATGTGGGGAGGAGTCCTTATATACATTAAAGGAACAAAATTAGAAGTCCAATGGAATGGGGAAGTCTGCCCTAAATGAGTCTGTGTGTGGGAGCACTACATATGATTGTCCAATCACTATCTACGTATCAGTATGCACCTAATCTAAGAGTCCACCTTAAGTTCATGCTGGGTGGAATGCTGAGCCAGAGCCACTAGGCACTTCAACAAATGCCTCGTGCATGGTAACCATGCCTATCCTGCATGTACAGTGACTGACAAAAGTAGCACACATGACTACAAATGGGTGTCAAGTATGCTCAATACCTTGCTGATGGCTAGTTCTACCAGCACAACTTGTATATGTATATATAACACTATACTAAGGCTATTTTTTAAGCTATATAAATCGCCCAATTATGCAGACACCAGAAGGCTGTTGTTGTTTTCTTAGAATCTGCTCCAATTTTGACCCATCTGCCTCTCCATAAATACCAGTGAGAAAATTTTAATTTTATTCATGAACAATTTATAAATGGTCAATATGTCCCTGTTATTTTTGTAGCTGACATGCTGTGCATCTCATGAAGTTCTAGGTTATGTTACACTAGTGGCTCACATCCTTACTGTATAGTCATTGGGTATATCAAGAGCAGCCAGACAAACACATTGTTAATAAACATTCTCATATTGTACTAGTATTACCTAAGTCATATACAGCAATACAAGCTTGTACAAGCTTTCAGCATTATACTCCTAATTTTTGAATTATGCAGCACAGAGTAGCCAATATAGCCAGGCTTGTAATTCACTGATTAGGAGAGAGGGTATACTGTCAAATTTATACATTAGTCTATGCATGGGACTACTATATATCACCAATAATAAGGATCTGTTATACCACTCCTTGCAGAGTTATGAATATTTCAAAAATATGGCATATTTTGAGTAAAACAATAATAGTGCTACAGTATCTGCATAGTTTGGCAACTTGTATAGCTCAAATAATAGCCTTAATAGGGTACCATATAATCTGTATATAACTCGTACCAGTAGTTGCTGTAGTATTTGAGGCGCGAGGTGCGCTGACCCGCTGGATGCGCATCCACCGCGCCGCGCCGAGACACCGACATGACGCGCTCACCGCGTCATGCCATATTTGGATATGGCTTTCCCGTTTTAGATATGATGTGCGCAGAGCGCTCTCGGCTCTGGCGCCGGTTCACTCCCCGCCGTGTTTCCCCTCGTCTCAGCTTCCTCAGCGTATATAGTATTGGTCTAAATATACTAGGAAGTAGATAACCTATAAAAGGACTCGTAGTAATATCCTCAGAATTTACCGTCGATTACTCGTGAATCCCCCGCCTGCGCGATCCAATTCACAACAGTAGTACTGGTCGTTAGGAAGCTATCGAGTAAACTCAACACCCCTTTGTAGCCACGCGCGCTACCTTTGTCGGTCACTGTATATCTGCCGGGTGGAGGGACGTTACTTACCAACTGTGTGGCTTTGCATACACAGCGGACCTAGACTCTCACTAGCACTCGCAAGGGTCTAGCGTTCCGACGAGTCAGATCCATCAGGGTTTTCGCGCTGGCCTTTTTGCACCCATCATGCGCTCAACCTTGTCCGATCCCGAAAGTGCCTGATCTGTCGCGACTCCTTAGGGTGTGTATTGTAGAACATCACCAAAATTCACCACACACATGACACGGTACGCCGCCGGCAACCTCACATCGTGATGGAAGCTGCACATTTCTCATTGACTGTAATGCTCAGCGCTCTGTCCCGAGCTAGCCGCTCGTCTTAAGTCGCCACGCATGGGACTACCGTGATCTTTATCCCTATGCTCCCCGAACCCACTCTACGTGACTACAGAGTATACCGAGAAAATCGCCATGTCAAACGAAGCCGACATGGACGGTAGCCTTGCCAGGGCGTCGACTTCCCTCAAGGTGTCAACAGCGACCGACACCACGAGGTCGTCCAGACAGACAAGCGTCATAGGTGAGCTGCTCTTTCGCTCCAAGGCGATGTTCGTCTTAGCGTTTTCTGTAGGCATGCTCAGCGCCATGCAAGCTGAGGCATCCAACCCGACCCTACAAGCAATCGCCCCAGTCGCTGCTCAAACCGTTCAGCTCGCCCAGTCGCAGATTGACAGCCTAAGCTCGACTTGCAAAATCCTTACAAATGCTCTCGACGATCTTACAAAGATACACCCTTTCGTTTCTGGTATGTACCTTTGGCTATCAGTCGTGGTGTGGTGCGCGTTAACGGCTCATACGCAGCCGCCGTGCTGGCATTCAAGACTGCGCTTCAGTTTGAGATGACTCGACGACAAAACGACAAGCGGATTATGCTTATACAGGTGAAGATGAACGACATGCTCTCGGTACTGCTTATGTACGTCGCGCTTGATTTACGTTATGAGCAGGTAACTATCACTGTTCATCCTAACATCTTTGTCGTGTTAGCCTGCGTCCAATTGCCCAAGGAGAGCGTGCGAGTGACGGCAAGACCATCGAAGAACGCCTTAGCGGACGAATTACGAAGATAGCTGATGACATTGAGAAGTACTCTGCGATATGCGACACGTTCTCCAAAAAGAAGACAGTCGGTAGGCACATCATATGTCTTCCTGTGAAGCATGTTGAGCGTACCCTATCTAGTTAAGCTCTTCCGGAGTCTGGAATGGGAAGGCAAACTAGAAGGTTTCATCAAAATCTTTGAGGATCACAGACGGGCCCTGCGAGATGATCTTGCCATCTTCTCCAGCGTCGGCATCCATCAAGTGAACGAAACCCTGGCCACGGTTTCCCTCCATGTCGAGAGGACCGATAACAAGGCGAGCACGCTGCTCCTTCTGCAAGCACTGCGCTCTCCCGTGGACCGCGAGCTCATCCGTGAGATCGAGCTGAATGGCGGGGCCGACAAGGTGCTCAAGGACGAGAATCTGATGCGGAAATTGATCGAGAGGAGCGGGGACAAGGACGCACAAGGTGATGGAAAAACGTCCTCGAAAGATGTTCAAGCATCGACTCTTAAAGAGATTATTCGCGACGTCAACAAGTCATTCGCGGACATGGCGCAGGAGAACGAGGAGCTGTTCAGTCGCAAGTTTAAGGCACAACAGGAGGTTCTAAAAGAGGAGATGTCGACAATTGCGAGGCGTGAAAGCGATCGTGTGATTGGCGCATTCACTTCCGGACCGCACAACCGCATTATCGACAAGGTATGCATCACTTGAAGATTGCACAAACTCAGTCTAACGATTCGGCCAACATAGGACTTATACGAGGTCTGGAAAGAGTCGGTGTGTAGCTTTTTTTTTTTTTTTTTTTTTTGGGGGGGGGGG